TTCAACTGTTTCGTTGTAATTGTGAGCTGAGAAAGTTAAGTTAAACCGAAACTAGTTTTTACAATAAGTTCGTTTTGTAGTGCGATCACAAACCGTAGGAATTTAGCCCACAGACATACATCAACCATGGTTTTTATACTTGGATAATTTTACCCGCTTGAAGCTGTGCCAGGTTACCAAGTGGTCGAGTGAATGACGGTCGAGTGAAAGTTTAGCGTCCGAAAAAAAATTCGAGAGTTCGCACTCATTTGAAATCGGGTGTAATTTAGTTCATTTACCACCTTCAAAACAATTAACCAAAAGGGTACGTGCTGGGTTAATTGAGGTGAAAGGTTTCTAAATGTGTGGGAAGAGAAAGGCACGCCTGAGGAAATTTTGTTCCTAGTGAATAGAATTAACTTGTAAAACTAGAATTTATTACTTTTAAAATTCTCTTTTACGTTCCATATCGATCTCTTCAATACTTTTCAGATTAAGTTTGATATTGTTCTCTTGTAAAAGTAAAAAGATTTGAAGCTAGCGCGGTAAGCTAGTTTGAGCTGCGTGAGTGTTTCTAAAGAAACAGTTGTTCAATAAGACAAATTTTAACACCGTAAAAAATGTCGTTGAAACAACTTTGAAACAACTTTTTTAATAGATGAGGTGACGGTTTTAGCGGCCATCTTGGACCGGTAGGCATAGTGTCGCAAAATAACGAGGAATGATCGGGAAATCGATGTCAAATAATTCTCGCTGAATTCAAATCGGAAAGAATTATCAATTGCAAACGTTAGATACTAAAAAAGGAGTTACCTGGCCAAACTTGAAGGATGTACTTCATCTAGGGAGCGAGAAAATTTATTTTTAGTTCTCAATATAGGAGGAGCCGACGGGTTCCTGGGAGAACTATATCTGTTCTTATGTCCCAGCCAGATGTAAGTCATAACCGATTGCCAGCGAAAAATTTAGGAAAAAAGAACTCTCCAGGCAAGGAATACTTTCTAAGAATTTTTGCCAGGAAAATAAAAATTCCCTAACTAAAACAAAATATGCCGTTTTTGACCATCAAAACGTTCTATAAGCCTTTTTTGACCTTAAACGTTTGCCAGGAACAAAATTATTTTAAAGAAGGAAGGGCGCCACATTTGCTTGTCAAGATTGTCAACAATGTAGCTAAAAATCCTTTTCCCAGGAAAAAATTCGTGTAAGAACAGTAATTTAGAAGAACAGACTCCGTTGGCTCCTCCTGTCAATACATTTCTTTGTATTTTTCACTCGCGTCACGCGTTGATGATATTACAAAGAAATGTCTGTGGAACTAAAAATGAGTTTACTCGCTCTCTAGATCAAGTACGCCCTTCAAGTTTGGCCAGTCCTTTCTTCAGTATAAACCAGCCTTGAAATATTCAAAGGAAAAAGTATTCAAAGGACAGTCCTGTCTGTCGACCCAGAACCGAGACAATAGAAATGACCGTATATGCAGACTATATGTGATACTATATGCAGACTATAGACCCCTTGCATGTGACGTCAAAGCAGCTTCATCTGGAGGACAAAACAAAAGATTTTTATCCTCTTGGGAACTAGAATCCATTGTTTTGTCCTCCAGTTGGAGCTGCATTCCCATGAACTGCAAGGGGTCTATATGTGATACTATATGCAGACTATATGTGATTTCACCTCGATGATGAGAACAGCTTGTTTTAGTCAAATATTCCACAACATGCAATTACCGTAACATCAACCAGATTATACTAGTAATAGGCGTTTAGAAGGTCTTTTTGATAAATGTCTT